CGGCGCAAGCCAAGACAACGAGGCAACGCCGCGTGGCCGACCAGCTGATCGCTCGGCGACGTGCACGCCGCGGGTAGGGCGGGGGGGGAAGGGAGGGTAAGTCGCGCGCGACTGGGCTAATGAGTGTGCGACCTATTGGGGGGGCTCGTTGGTGGGGCAAACGGCGTAGGGAGGGGAGAATCCGCGCGCGATCCCGTCGTTGAATAGGGCAGGGAAAGAGGGGGACCCCGCTGTGTTGCCGTCACGTCAGACAGCCGTGCCTCTTGCTGCCGCGCCGACGGTGTTTTCTACGATCGAGTGGCGCGGCGGCGGCGGCATTGCAAGGTCTAGGAGGCCGCGTACTCGAGACGCCGCGGTCGTTTCTTGCTATAGAATGCGAATCGAATGGCTCTTCCGAAACGTGTTTTCTTTGCGTATTGCTGTTATTACCAGCGAATTTCTCAAACTCTGCAAACGTCATTTTTTTTTATCTTTGAATAAATAATTTATTTTTGTTTGTTTGACAGGAAGATAACGATTTTAATTAATTGAAGATACTTATTAAATCGTATTTATTTCTTTTTTGGAGTATTGCATTTGTTTTTTGGAGTAATTCGTTGTAACTTATTCTATAAAATTAAACTCCTCAAGATTTTTTTGTTCAATGTTTAATTTGATTTAATGATGTATGACATTATAATCATGGAACAGTTCTCTTAAAAGTTAAAATATCTGTAATCACTGAATGGAATTTCTGCAACGTAGCAACAAATCATTCGAAGTAGAAAAAACTGATTGGTCCGTTAAACACCGGTTATATTGCCGCGTTACGCAAGAGAGTATGATGACTTCCTAACAATCCTAACAGGTATAATTTTAAAATTAGAACACCCATTCTTTTCCTCTTTTAAAAATAAAGATAAAAATGGCATAATAATATATGTAAAAATTCTAGTTGCTTTATTTAACTAAAAAAAACGTGTGTTGAAATACAAATAATGAAGTGTGTTCTTAACATCGGATTTAATCGAACACATATGAGTGATTTCTTTTGATGAATTCAATCACTCACATTATTCTGAATTAGTATACATTAAAATAAAGTTGCTTTAAATGTATAAAGTATCTAAATACATACATAATATAATCAATTTTGACAATGAAATAATTCATATATTCATATATTATTTAACCGACTGTCGAAATGACAAGACACATATCGTTCTCGCAGTTATTTTTTTAAAATTTGACGATAATTTATAACATATTAACGAGTTACAAAATGTTAAATAAGAGAGATTCATTGTTCAGTGTATAAGAAGCGTCGACTGTGTGAGTTTGAGTTCTCATTGCCACTCAGCTTTCTAACTTTGTGAGTATGTGACTTACCTCACAACAGTAAACGGTTCAATATTTGAGAGGAAAAACGTTGGAGATATCATTTGTCATGCAATACTCCAATCGTTACGCTGGGGTGAAAGATTGCTGATGAAGACTCAAACCATGAGTGGAAACGTTCAAAGTTAAGGTTTATATCATCGACATCTAGAATGGACCGCTGATGGCAATGGTGGGGGTAGAAAGACGATTAGAGTGAGAGGCAGG